TTCAAATTTCATTGGTAAACAACCACGCCATGATGGCATAGTATTTGATCGAGTTGTACTATGAACTATTTGTGGTTGTGGTTGAGAATGAACCATTGAATCATTTGCTAGAAAATTTGATGATTTAGAATAAAAATAAGAATTATGAAAGTAATACCATAGGTAGAAGGTGATTGCATGAGTATGAATGAAGGTGGTACTCGTTGGAGATCATTATCTGTTGTAGTTAATGGAATATTGTCGATAGTAGAAAGTGTTTGACGATTTGATAATGGTGTTGGTAATGGTAGAAATGCTGATGCCGAAGGAAAGAGATTAACATTTTTGTTTGGTACGATTAATTCGTCTGTTGAATTGGTTATTGTTGATCGAGACTAAGAATAAAATATCTTTGTGAATCTTGACACGAACAAAATAGTACTTACCAATAACTGTTCTGATGTCTTATTATTGCCAAGACTGCTAAACGACATAAGAGATGATGATGTTGATAAGCGTGACATGGGTGAAATCAAGACATCAATAAATGATGCTGAAGGAATATTTTTCTTTGCACTAAATAGGTCCAGTTATAAAAGCACAAAACTTCAATGAATAAATTTTTATACTTACAAAAAATCATTCGTAGTAGAAGGTATTTCTTGATTTAAATTTTCAGTTTCTGATTGCCTATAAAATACATCAATTTTTTTATGATAAAAATTTCGAAAGTTAATTAAAATTATCGTTGGCAGCTACTCAAAAGAAATAAATAAAATAAATGACGAAGTTATTTTGTTTCATTGAATTCATAAAAACTCTAATTCTCAAAGACTTCTTACAGAAAGTAATCCAATCAATAAATATTCAAACTCACCAACGAGCCATTTTTGAATGTCGTAAAAAATTAAAATTATCATCAAAAAAACCTTCATGTTCTAATCGATTTATAACATTATGTGTTTTGTCAGATGTCAATGGTGAACATAGTGATGAAAAATTTGACATATGATCATTGTTCTCAGATAAACCTACATAAATAAATGTTTTCATTCGCAATTACACTTATGAAAAAGCAAAAGAATTTACCTATATCGATCGAAGGAGATATTTTTATCAAATTTACGTCCATCAAAAATAAAATATTGAATAGAAATCTAGAATAATTAATGATTAATGTTTTTTGCTCTATTGCAGTTAAATAATTATTTCAGAGACGATAAATTTGAACACATATACAAATCAGAAGACAATTTGATACAGTTCTGAACAAAAGTAGCCGATCCACCATGAAGTGCTACTATTCTTTATGATATTAAGCTAATATTGTGGAGGCATGCGTGCGACAAATCTCAAGCATTTATCTCATAGTCATCAAATGATAAAAAAAACTTTCTCCGTACATAAATATGTTCGTCACAATGGAAAGAAGCTGTCTGAATCATAACTGCAGGTTATGTTAATCGATCAAGGGCGGATTGGTGCTTGCAATCATGCCTTATTCTCGTACGCATGCATCCAAAATATCAGCTCAATAACATAAACTATAGTAGGACTTCATTGAGGGTAACTAATTTTGTCCATGACTGTATGTTATTAATTAGTTTATGATTGAATAAAATTTGTTATTCGATGACGGATACTTGGTTGTCCATCGATACAATGGAGTTTGTAATCGCTGTTTTTCGCCGATAAACAGCCATCTCTTGATCATATCGAATTTTTTCTTCTGCTGCTAACTTAACATATTGTTTTTTGAGATCAACATCTAAATTTGACCATCGTTGACCGATTACTTTCATTACTTCTGAATTAAATAACAAAATAAAATAGTGTAATTTTCTGTTCATTTGACAAGAAAAAAAAATACCACGATTTTTCTTACCTGTTATAGCAACATTTGGTTGTGTCAATTTAATTTTTGGTCGTTCATCACGTGCAAATAAGAAATACCCTGATAATGGTCGTTTAGGCGCATTTGGATCTTTCGAAATTTTTTTACTTTGACGTGGCATATGTGAATATGTGATACTCAATTGAAATCGATCTTATTATTAGACTCGCGCCTATCCTTTTTTTTCTGAATTAAGGAGCACGTGCAACACGAACGAACGATTTCGATTTTCTCTCTTTTTCTTCTTCTATCGGAATCGATCTATGAATCTCTTAGTGTAAAAAAAGAAAAACAGATGCAATTCATATAGTCTAAACTTTATTCAAAATTACCCTGCATTCTTTCGAATAGTTCGTTAGAGAAAATATTCGAGGCCCAATATTTGATAAAATATATCATTATTTAAACTACTGACTATTCATTAAGACGAATGTGTCAATTTCGGACATAAAGTTTGTTTTATTCTTATATTTTCTTTCGCATTAAAAGCGCTCTCTGCCCTTTCCGGGTACTAAAATCAAAATTTTTTTTGCGATTTTCGATTTTTCATCGCTAATATAGCTTCGAAGTGTTTTTCAAATTGTGAACAAAACAAAAGAAACTTTTATCCGTTTCCCTCCAATATCATACGTTCCGATAGGACTATTCTTTTTATAAGAAAATCAAAACTTTATCGACAATGATTCATCTACTTATTCTAGTATCTTAAATGTATTTTTTTCTTCAGCAAAAAACAATAGAAAAATCCTAATAACAACACATAAAGACGTTCAAAACACAAGCGAAAGCGAAATAAAACACACTTCTCTTCACTCACAAAATTATTACTCTACAAATATATACAAAATCGGTAACAAAATGGATTATGATTAGTTCAAATAAGAAGTGATGTTTACAAATAAACGACATCGATCTATTACAGTTCTGCTGATAGATATACAGTTCACATACACAATGCTCAACAATTACTTTTTCAAACGTATAAAAAAACAAAAAAAGACAAATACCCTATTTCGACAATAAACGAAAGACACTGTATCCAAAAGAAAATACAATAAAAAAAAAAGATAAAAAAGAGAATAATAATCTCGTTTTCTATACATTTTCAAAATTAAATATGCGGTAATGGTTGTTGTCGTCGAGTTGCTGGTTGATGATCGGCAAGTGGTTTTGATCCATGTCTATTCACCCAACATTGTTTACAATATGATCGAAGACAATGAAAGTTTCGACAAAACAAATCAGCAACCAATGGACAAAATGCACATGGTTCATTTTCTCGTAAAAATGGATCAATATCAAGCTAAATATTTTTTATTCAATAATCTTTTGAAAACAAAAAGATTTAAACAACTCACTAATTTATGAAAACAATCACATTTAATATCAATAGCACCAGCAGCTACTGCACGCATATAACTATGAGAATCACAAAATAACACCGTTCCTGTACCTAATAATTCACTTTTTGTTTTGTTTTATATAACATAATGAGAATAGATATATTATTTACCTGTTGGATATCCATATTTATCTGTATTGATTTGAGCCATTAAAACAGTTCCAAATACATTTGACATGATTGTACTAAGACTAAATGCACTCATTTTACCATGAAGTGGTGAGACGAAAATAGTTCGTGACCAATCTTTATAAGATGTTGCATTATTTGAAATGTTTTCGTTTTGCATAACATAAACATTATCTTTTACATTCCAAGGAACAACTTGAATCTAATTTTTTAACATAATGATAAAGAAAAATAAAACTAAGACAATAACACTCACTGGTTTGAATCGAGTTGTACGAATGGACAAACCAGTTGTTGTTGGTAACATATGAATATGAAGAAAATAATCAATAGTTGAACGTTGTTGTCGAGTACAATGTTTAAGAAGTTCTGAGACTGAACGTGATTCTCGATAAACAACATGACAAAAACCTTTAACAATAAAAAGCATTTCTAGTATTTTATCACGGTTGTCTCTTCCGGAGGAGCAACTTAAAACTCAGGAAGGACGAACACCTGTTTTTGAGAGCAAAGACACATAGTAGAATAATCACCAACTGTGGAAAAATCAACTCAATCTTTGGAAGAGCACATTCCCTTGATCCTCACACCGGATAAAACAAGGATCATCTAGGAAAAAGAATTAGTAAAGAAAAAGAAAACCTCTAACCAGGCATATTGTGTTTGATTCCATCATTTTTTGGCCATTTGATATTACATTTACCAAATTTTCTTAATACAAGTAATAGTTCAGCTGAAAAGAAAATCAAGAAAATAAATATTAAAGTACAAAAACATAGTTTCGAATGAATAATTAACCTTCAGTAAGTTCAGATGGAATACCACCAAGAAAAACTTTTTGAGAAAAATTAGTTGTCATTTGATATTGATCTAATGTAATTGGTTCAAATTTCATTGGTAAACAACCACGCCATGATGGCATAGTATTTGATCGAGTTGTACTATGAACTATTTGTGGTTGTGGTTGAGAATGAACCATTGAATCATTTGCTAGAAAATTTGAT